TTTGGAGAACACTTAGTGAGGAGGAGGCAGCGGGGGAGTATTCATTGTTCCTTCCAGCCTTTAAGCATCTTTGGGAAGACTGGAGAAGCTCCTGGACAGAAAAGGAGAAGAAAGGAAAGTTGGTGCGGGCCCACTTTTGTCAGATGCCTGTCAGCCTCAGCCAGAAGTACCAGCACCCAGACCTCAATTCCAAGCGCCCCCATTCCCAGTTGTAGGTAACTGGGTCAGTGCAGCCCTGAGGAGAATGAACCTGGGTCCCGGCGCCCTGTGTGAAATCTGTCCCAACCTACACCACCACCTCCAGGTTTTCCTTCCAGAAGTTAACTTGATCTCGCTGAACACAAACTCAGCAGGCCCTGCTCTCAGAAGGCATCTACCCTGAAATGTACCCTTGTTCTCACTCCTCAGGCCTTCTCCACCCACATGCCCTACTCCTGCCTCAACTTTGTAAATCAGAAACTGCCCCTGAGGAGGACAGGACATTTTTGGTGGGAAACAGATTTTCAGAAATTCACTTTATAGCCAGTGAGGAAGACTAAACTGTGGTGATAGGAAATGATGCAAAGACAGAGGATAAGGTCAGGGTCACAGGAAGCTGTGTAGACCCCCCAGGTGGGTTCCAAAAGGAGAAGAGAGCCCACATCATTTCTGGGACCTCTGAGGAGGTCTGCAGAGCTCATTTAACCTCTGTAAACCTCTTATCTCATTTGCAAAAATGAAGATAAAAATTTTCTTGCCTTTATCTATGACTTCCCAAGTTCACAATGAAAAAAAAAAAAGTAATTCTTTCTTTTTTTTGGTACCGAGACCAAACTCAGGTCCTTGTGCTTTCAAGGCAGGCAGCGGAACCAATGAGCTAAATCCCCCACCCAAAAGCAATTCTAATTCTTTGAAAACCAGAAAGCATTTTGATTAGAAGTTACTCATGACATCATATTTTATTTGTCTTCAAATCCAGAAAGAACATCATGTTCTAAGAAACAAATCAATAGGTCAAAGTAGATGAAGTCTGTGAAGGGCCATGGAGGGAAACGCTGGTTTTATTAATGATTGTTCAAGTGATGCCTTTCTCAAATGGAGCTGCTATAACATTCCATCTTTCTGCCAAGTAAAAAGTTCTCCCTTGTGTCAGGCAGGGAACAAAGCTTTCATATGTTCATATAGAGTTCTTCCTCCCTATGGAAGCAATGGGAAAGAAATGCCTTTCTTGCTAAAACACAGAGAGATGCAACAAGGTAATAAAACTTTTTAAGTAAACAGACTGATCCAAATGCTTTTTGTTGTTCTTCTAAAGAAACTGTAATTGCACAGGAAGGAATGGGCCTGATTTGAACTCTTCTGCCTCAGCTAAGGCTGATTTCCAAGTGGAACGCCAAGCTGAGCTGTTTTCTTTTCCTTTCTTTCACTTATCTTTTCATTTTGGAAATTTTCAACCATGTACAACAGTAGGCCAAACTGCATACGCCCATTAACATAAACTAATAGAATAATATCTGCAGTATCTTATATATCCAGATGGATATTACACCTATATGTCCATCAGCCAAATGCAACAACTGTCACTGGTCATTCCCCCCCACACAGCCTGCTTCAGAAACTCCCCTATATTTTCTATATTTCAGCTAAAATGTGCAGACCAGGTTACTGAACTGGCAAGATGTGATTACATCAAGTGAACGGAATTCTGCAGCCTCAGATCTGATCCTCTGTAGAATTCACAACCTCACGATACATCATTTGGGCAGGGTGCTCATTAACTGGGCACCATCTTGCTGCCATTGGACTGGGAACACAGACAGGTAGCAGCCGTGAATCGTGGCTCTAGATTCTACAGCAGTGGTGGCAAACCCATAGCATGCGTGCCATAGCAGTCTGTTTGTATCACTGAAAGCTCTCAAAGGTTTGCCATCTCTGTTCTAGAATCCAGAAACTGAATTCTGTACCACCTGATTTCCTAACCAACCTGGGAGATTTCTTCTAAACTAGTCATGACTCATTCAAGTGGTCCAGGACTGTTACACTGCAAGGGACTGGAATCAGTTCCTTTAGCACAGTTTATCTCAGCCCTAGCTTTAGAGCTATGGGCTTGTAGGATCTCCTTCCCACTTGGACTCTGCCTCTTTGCCCAGGAGTAAGAACACTTTATGAGCCCCGCCTAATAACTCATTTCCAGACCATTCCTATCAACAGACAGCCCATCATCTCAAAACAACAGGGTAAATACTTTTGTGGCTTTTGTTTTTCAAGGTTTTTCTTCACCTCAGTTTGTACAATGCATGCAGACATCTGTTTGCCTAATTTTCATCCATTTAAAAATTACGAAGTCAGTAGACTTGGCTTATCTTTTCCAAAAGAACCAAGTCTGGCCTCAGTGTACAGACCAATACATGAAAGCACATAACCAAGTCCCCAGCGATGGCTTCCTCTACAGTATTCCCAGATGCTTTGTGTTGTCTGGCAAATACACAATGTAATAAATATTGATGGTTCCCTCACATGTGGTGATAAGATTTACTTAGCCAAAAATAAAAAAAAAAATTTCTGCACTCTCTTTTCAAAATATGTCACTGGAGTTGTTGCCCCCAAATTAGTTTGTACTCTGGCGGCTTTATTTAAATGACAATCAGATGCAGAGTTTCATTACAATGGTTTCCAATTTTTTTAAATTTTTATTTGTCCCTATGGATTGTTGCTGTTTTATGACATTTTTCTTTAAAGGTCTTTCTGCCTTTTCCCAACTAAGATGAAATATTTTAAAAGTCACTGAGCTTTCTTGCTTAACACGTTTTATTTTTCCTTTTGGCTACAAGATCACGGTTCCTGAATTTCAAATGTTTTTCAAGTAGAGACAGAAGTGGAGGAGCTGCCTAATTAAGTGCAGCTTAGTATTACTAAGGTGGTGTCTTCTGCACTGCGGAAGGGACCTGTCGGTTATAGCCTTTTTGCCCTGCATTTACAGTCACACAGGCTTCCATTCAAGGCTCCTGTGTGCACTCCTTCCAAAGATATTATCCTTCTGGGGGGAAATTTTTCATGCATAAACTCAGCTCCAATATTGGTTTTTTTTTTTCTTTTAGAAAGTTTGAGAAAACGAATTCTTAGTTATTTGAGAGAATTAACACAGACACTGGTTTTAAACCTAGATTCAGCTAGGCTGATCATTAAAAATTGAAAGAGGAGACAAATCCATGCATTTAGCCTGCAAAAAGAAAGACTGCTGATTCTTTTGGAAGTTACCAAATACTTAAGATGAGCACTTTATGAATCATTTTAGATATAGATTCTGCAACATTTATTAACTATTTAAAGGGATGACCGATTTATTCCCATTTCTTTGAGGTGCCATAATTATAATACACAGTTATTACTATGAAAGTAGCAATGATAGTTCAGACAAAAAACTGTAAGTTTATTATCACAGCTACAGGAAAAGTTGTTGTTGGTTTGTCCCCTTTTTAAAGCAATGCCTCTTTTTAAAAAAAAGCACCAGGAAATAAAAGGAGCTCTGATTCTATCTTGTACAGAAACACAGAATATGAACCCAGAAATTTTAGAATATTTACTAAATAATTCACACTGCACACACATGGCATTTGATGGGATATTAATTCTAAAATATGAAATTCAATCTAGAAATCTTGACAAATGTACATCTTAATGGGGTTCACTTCACTTTTTGTCTGTATCGTTATAAAGCACGAAAGTTTTAGTAAGCAAATTTCTCATGCTT